TTCATGGAAAATAAGATAATTTTCTACAGTCTCAAATTAAAAGGGAAGCTAGAAAAAAATATGGAAAAAAAGTTAATGCCTGTATTTCTTAGTATTTAGCTAAACTTCAGCCCGTTGTGTGATGCATCTTCCCACTCCCACCCCCACCCCTGCTTTCCTTTAAAGTGCTGTTTCAGTTACCCAAATTGCCTCACAGGGTGGCCCGATGAATGACTGCCAGAGCTGGTGCAAGATGAATTACAAGATTCTGTAGTCTAAACCAGGGAGGAAGACATGGGCATGAGGAAAGGAGGTTTCCAAAAGGGCAGGTGTGTAGGGATGTGAAACCAGTTCACCAAAAGGTACAATGAGTACAAGAAGTAATGATAGGGGTAAGACAACGTAGAACAACAGGAAAGAAGAAAGGGATGAAAGAACAAGAGCACAGCACCCATCTTTTTTGCTGCCACGGAGTGTTTGCATCAGCTTTGTCAACTCATCAAACAACACTCTAAATTTGACTTAGTCTAGAAGTAGCAGGCATAAATGCAAGCCTCATAGGCAGTAGTCAACACCTTTTGGCTAAGGTAACCGACTGTAGTGTAGTGAGGCAAATGATGTATCTCCAAATTTAAGCCATGTAAGTGACATTAAAATTTATAGCTATAAATTTGCAGTCCTGGTTTGATGGTTATTAGATTCCTCCCATGTGTGAAGTGCAAAATTCAAGACTATTGTTCAGATTTGCCTTTAATGGGGAGCTATTGTGAAACATCTTTCAAATCTAGTCTGTTATTAAATTGTGCACATATCTACAATGAATCTAAGAATTATGGAGAATTGTGGTTGATTTTTTCATTACTCAGGTTGCTTGGAGGATTTATGTCAAAAATGCTGGTCTTATGAACACCTTTTCAAAGTTATACTACCTTCACAGTTGCGCTACTTCATATTGCAGAACATTTGGATCCTTTTATTACCTGTGTAACTGTATTTGGAAAATTTCATGAATGGGTTAAAATATTTTAATTTATCGGTTTAAATAATGAATTTGACTCTTCATACAGTTCTACACATAATTTTAATTCTCTTTTCTGATTGTTTAAAATCATGTTTCTTCACTCTAAAGTTCTATCAGTAATTCACTCTAAAGTACAGTTTTCTGGATCTTCCCGTTGAAGTGCAACTGCTGGCTATGGGAATAGGCTACAGCTTTTATCTTCGCAATTTAAAAGTTAACTGGGAAGAATTTATAGTTCAACAATAATTATTTAGCAATTTTCTCTGTAAGTGGGACTGGAAATTAACATTCCTATATTTACATATAATAGTTCAGTTTGAATTATCAAAATTCTAAGAAAAAGCTTTAGAATAAATTAAGGCTTTCAAGAAATAAACTGTTCAGCTTCAAGCAGCAAAACCAAAAGTACTAACACTAACATTTCTCATTAAAAGACATTTATTAAATCCTCCGAAACAGAGTTCCTGCATTTCTGTAGGAAGTTCTTTCTACTGTAACATAAAATACATTGTGCTTTTACATTATGGCCTGTAGAAGCCAAGCTTGCTTTTGAAATGATCCTCAATATATCTGAACATCTGTCTCAGGGAAAGATTTTTCTGAGACCTTTTAGTTCCTGACTGTGCTTTGCTCTCAAGTTGTTCACAGTAGTAGGAAAAACTAGGAAGAAAATTTTCAGAGGTATTTTATTTAGTTAGTACAGAATGACACTATATGCTGTTTTACTATCTATTGTCTGAAAGAAGAGGAAGATTAGTCGTATTTTTAGCAGTTATTGAAGTGAATTTGATTCAGAGCAGGAAACAACTTAAAAATGAAAATATCTTGTTCTGGCTTATGGCAAATCAGCTGAGACATCCCATTATTCCAGGACAATGACCGGTGACTGTGCTTTGAGTCAGGATGAGACTAGGGTGGGTTGTTCACCACACTTTCTGTTTTACGTATTAGTGTGGCTGTGGAAAAAGAATAAAAAATTGACAAGGGGGAATGGTGAAAGTAAGAAAGAGAACAAGAAGAATGGTGTTACCCTACCCTCTAGCCAATGAAGATTGCTCCTTTTTTGATATCTAGTAGTTGTGAAAGAAGAATATATCCAACAAACACAGAAATCCAAAGTTAGTAGGACTGTAGAGAAACTGAAACTAATGTTGGATAGAACTGAATGATTAAGGCTTGTGCCAGGTAAAATGATTGAGCCCGTGGCACCGAAAGGGACAGGTCCATTCTCTCCTTATTATCTTCCCTTCTCCCAGCAAAGGCCTCCTCTCTCACTATCCTTCCCCTTCTTTGGAACAACTTTGATGTTTTTCTTGCTTTTTGGTAATTTGAGTCAGATCACTAAGCAAGTTGAAAACTGAGCCAGCAAGGAGAGAGGTGAGTAGCTTTTGCTGGTTTAGTGAGCTGAAGGGGTCATTAGTGGTCTGATGCAAACCAAGGCTAGGCTGAGGGAGGACATGAAAGTGGGCTGCCAGGAGGCTGAAAGGACAAGTAAGCAAGACCACCCCTGCTAGCAGCAGGGAATCATTAGGTCTCCAAAACCTCATTTGCATCTCAAAACTGGAAGCCAGGAGGCTGGCTGGGTCTGGCTAAAACAGAAGCTGTTGACAGTGGGAGATGAGAGATGACTGAAGTTGAATGAGGATGCAGAGAGGTTGTGATCTTTTAAGTGGTTGGTGTTAATAGTGAAGCAGGAAGAAAAAGAGAGGGTGGACAATCAAGAAAGGGGAACTGCACTAGACTGGGTAGAGAGTGTGGCCTTGGCTAGGATGGAGAATAGGAACAGAGTATCAAAAAACAAGTTGGGCATGGCAGATTAGAGTTAAGCAAATTATTTTTTTTTGTGGAAAAATATGCAAAGGATCTATAACCATTAGAATGTACATCATGGATGTAAACCTAACAGTCTTGATGATCCATGAAGTCAGTATGCAATACCATATAGAATATTGGCAATGCACGAAAGAGAAGGGAGGAAGACAATGAAAGATGAGGTAAAGGGTTTCGATTTTAAAGTCTTAGAAGTTCTAATGTTTATTGGGATGTAGGGAAGGCATCTTAACTACTGGAAGAGATTGATGAAAACAATCCTTCAGATTATCTCTCAAATAATTTGTTTGATTGACTAGTAAGATACACAATCAAGAGTTCCTTGTAATATATTCTGGACATAATTGTAGCTGCACCTATCCCTGCTGACTATTAGATGGAGAATATTGTGTTTGTTTGTTACTGCCAATGAGAATTTTATGGCAGCAGTTCACTTTCCATTAGAAAGAATTGAAAATGAACATTCTGGCAATTTTGTGTGGTTGTCAAAAATTATGCACTGCCATTTGAAAACATGCCAAGTGCTAATGGCTGTCTCTGGGAGATCCATTTTACAGTCTTAAAATATAACAAAAGTACTTCAACCTATAATGACTGGTTACTATAATATGGATAAATACTTCAATAACTATTATTCTTATATTAGTTTAAGATCATGAATCCTCATATTTTAGTCCTCAAAGGTTTTTAAGGGAATGAAAAGCACAAAATTATATTTTTATTTTGGTACTTCACTCACTGGTAGCTGGAGGAACAGTTTTCATAACTGTGCTCCAAGAGCTGCCCTACTCCTTAGGGCTTTTAACTGCCAGTTAAAACTGCATTTTCCCAGTTTTCCTCGGTTCATTTATGTTTGCAATGTAAATGTAGCTTACTTCCATGTAAACAAGAGTACTCAGATTCTACAAATATAGCAGTTCTGTAGTCTTAGTTCTACACGTCTGTTTAAATTTACAGCTTTAAAGTAGCAGGTTGAAGTATCCATGTGAGTAAGCCTTAGTTTGGAATTTGTTTAGGTGTATTATCATTAACCACGAAAAGTTAATGTATTGCATGGCAGTGCTAGAAGACTTGTAGTTGAAAAATGGGGTACAGGCCATGTTTTTTCCTAGATATTTAATGAAGATGGAAAAAATAAAGAATATAAAGTTCCAATTTGAATTTTATTTTGTCTTTTCGCAACTTACCTAACTCCTTAAACTGAAAAGGGACAAATAAAATCAGTTAAGAGAAATTAAATAACAAGACCTTATGATGTGTTCCTGAACTATGGTTTTGGAAAATGAAGTTTCGTATAAACAAAACTCTGTTTGAAGGCTCTTATAACAGGAGACAGATGATATTATAT